CCCCAAAACCCCAAAACCCCAAAACCCCAAAACCCCAAAACCCCTAGAGAAAAAGGAGGTTTTGAAATTAATGGAAAAATAGATTTAGATGAAGAGATAGAAGCATTTGGTTTATGAATTAGAGTTTGGAATTGGATTTTAGAGTAAGAGATGGAGATTTAGATCTTAAAAGTTAGTACTTAGGTTCTATCTTCAGGATTTAGTTGTTCAACAGAGCTTTCAGGATTTTGATCCAAAGCATCTTCTTTCTTGATGCTTTCTTCTTCAATTTTATCTTCTTTATCATTATCAAACTGTTCAACCATCGGATGAATTGCATTTAAGCCTTTCTTTTGGTTGATTTCAGGCAGAGTATTTAATTTCTCTTCTGTTATACTACGAGGCTGATTAGCTTCGATCATTGGATCTTCTGTCTTTAATGTCTTCTCTCTTGCAATGCCTCTGAAATTAGCTTTGTTGTAACCCTTTGGAATAATAGTGCTTTCTACTTGGTCCATTCCATTTGCTACATCAAGCTTATTTCCAGAATGTTCCAGTATCTTCTCATCCTCAAAAACAGCCATGCTTTTCTTTCTAATTGTTTCTACTCTATCCTTATTTGTAAGTTCTTTAGCAACACCTAAGAAAAGAGTCTTCTTCTTTTGTAAAGTATTCTGCCTGAAAGTTCTTCTTGTAAGTGTATTCTGTGCTCCAGGAAGAACCTTGAAGTTCTCAAATAACACTTTGGGATCAAAAGATAACCATGATTCCTTAAGTGAGGCTGGGAATTCAAAGCATCAGACATTATCCTTTGCTTTATATTTAGACATAGTGGGGTAGATGAACTTGTAACTCCTCACTTTGGGTCTATGCCTATTGCCAAATCCTTTCTCACTTTCACTGAGCAAACTTTCTTCTTCGTTTGCTTCCTCTTCTTCATTAATTTCTTCAAGCCAACCTTCAAAGAGGATACCTCCGTGTTCTAATTTGATGATATCTCCAGATTTATATGAGCCATATTTTGAATTCTTTAAAAGAACTGTCAACTGATTCGGGGTGAATTCTTGTAATCTTTCGAATTTGTCAGGGTTCAGATCGATAATAGAAGGACCAATGTAAAACCACAACCTCTTCTCCTGTTCAATGTCTTTGATCATCTCTCTAAAAGCAGAAATTGGAAAGCTTCTCACAGTACAGACAGTCTTAGCATAGCAATTTGTCAAGGATCTGCCTTCATCTTTCTTCAAAAACTGAAGTCCGACTATATCTCCTGGCCTATTTTTGATCTTTGGAGCTTCATGGTCATCTATAGCACCGTTCTTTTCAGCAACAATTCCTCTTGAGAGATAGTACAAGTTCTTCATCATTTCATCCTTTGAGATGATGATTTCATTCTTATTGTAGGTTTGCTCTTTGAAGCTCTTTCAGAGAATCTCAAGATCTTCCTGCTTGAAGATCCTGGCGATATCACAATGCTTCATAAAGTCATGATCTGCCTCTTCAAACTCTATCTTCATTCGATTGAGCTCAAGATTTCTGCTAGACTTGTCAAGTTCATGGAGGAAGAACTTAGCTTCCTTAAAATCAATCTGACCATGCTCGATCATTCTGTTTACGAATTCTCTCATCTTGTTGATCAGGAAGAAGCTTCCTCTTTTGTGTTGGACTGCTTTGATTACCTCAGGGAAGTTCTCTTCCAGGTCATTGTGCAATAGGCTCACTGCATGTCTATGTTCTTTGTGGATCTCTTTATCCAAACGCTCAAGGATATCCTCATTGTGAACAATCTCACGAATCATTTCGAGACAATCTTCATGACCTTCAACATAATTTACTGTTACATCATAGATAAACGAAATGTTGTTATATAGATGATTCTTTACAAAATGTCTGATAATCCAAACTTTCTTGAACTTCATGATAAATCTCATCCACCAATTGCTATTGAAGTATCCTTTGATAAATTGGAAATCCTTTAACGTATCCTCATTATGATCTATACCTCTGTCTGCACTTTCAATCAAAAGCAAGCATGCTCTAGAAGAACACTGCCCTTCTTGAAAGTAGTCCCAATAGATACCTTTGAGGGTAGTCAGATATCTATGCTTGGCTTCTAGGTATAACTCTTCGAATGAATATTCAGCTTTATCAATCATCAGATCATTATTTTTCAGCTGGGACGATCTAATTTGCTCAGTCTCTTCCTTTGCGATTCTTCGATTCTTGAAGATCTTTTTCTTGATTTCATCAGCCTTTGCTGTACTCTTGAGGATCTCCCAGTCGATTTTCTTATAGTTCTCATTCTCTTGCATCTGGGAGATTACCTCATTTACTTCTTTCTTATAAGCTTTGACTAAGTTTTTGAGCATTTTCTTTTTAACTTCACTCATTCTCATTAATCCTAATTTTCTAATCAAGAATCCCATTGTTGTTCCGTTGATGACCAAAGTGAGAATTGCGATACCAGCTGTGTGGAAGATAACGATATCCTTGATGTGATCTTTCACTCCAGTGTCTAGAAAGACAATCAGAGAGAGAACTAACGAGACTGCACCTCTGAGTCCTGAATAACCGAGAACAGTAGCTTGTGCCCAGGTCAAACCGTATCCAATTTTGCTTAACGGCCATCTTAACAAAAACACCATTCCAAAACGAATTATGTGGAGGAGGATGTATAAGCCAGGAAGCTTAAGCCAGTCTTTCCATCCAATATCTGATTCTCCCTCAAACACTTTCAATGCAATGATTGTTCCAGCCATCATGAAGACCAAAGTCTCTCATGAAAATCCTAGGTAACCCCATATATGGTGTAATGTTTCTTCGGATTCATGACTAATCTTTGTTTTACCAACCTTAGTCATATAGAGACCGAGGCCAACAAGAGCTAGGATACCAGAAACTTCAAGTTCCCAACTTTCTGCTACATAGAACACCATATATGCAGTAACAATTGTTAGGTTTGTTTCAAGAATGGAATTGTTCAAAATTCTTTTTAACCAAAAAGAAATGATGACTCCAAAGAAGATACCCAGAAGAGGGCCTCCAAAGGACAGTCTAACAAAGTCAAGAGCGATTGTACCGAAGTTGAATTCTTCTCCTTTGACTAATTCAAGCGTGACTGAGAACATAACAAAAGCTGTACCATCATTGATTAAACTTTCTCCTTCAATCATAGTCGAGAGTGTTCTTGATGCACCTAACTCTTTCAGAAGTGACACAACTGCAACTGGATCTGTGGCTGAGATTAGGGCCCCAAACATAATAGCTGCTTCCCAAGTGAATTCACCATCGTATTGAAGAATATATCTCATTGCAATTGCCGTGAGGAAAGCATTTACCACCAATCATGGTCCTGCTAAAATAAGAATTTGTACGATCTCAGTTTTGATAATATGCCAATCTATGGAAAATGCAGATTCAAAGATCAATGGAGGAAGGAATATTAGAAAGAAAGTATGTGGGTCAAGCCTGGCAATTCTTTCAGCTCCTTCCCCCCAGTTTCCAAGTCCTTCATATGCAAATCCAACTCATAATCCAAAAATAGCGAGGACTGGTGTGTATGGAACTTGGATCTTTGCTGTGATATGCTTGATTATTTGTCCAAACATGAGCCCAGCAAGAACGTATAGAATGATATGATTTCCTGCCTCATGATCACTGCTATGTTCAGTAGTAGACGTAGAGGAAGAAGTCGTACTAGATAGAGCTCGTATAACGGAATCTGTTTCCATTTTATATTATTTCATTTGATATCAAGAAGAAAGGGGTTTTGGGGTTTTGGGGTTTTGGGG